GCTCATACCAGAAGTTCTGTCTAGGCAAGATAATAGTAAAGCCATATAAAGCCATATTTCCACCCTTTGCACCCCCCTTCTTAATTTTTTTTTTTTTTTTGCGGTTTAATTTCTACAGCCACATGTATTATGATTATTTTTAGTAACCCTCAATTTTTCATCTGTCAGTTTGCCCTGTTACGTTCTGGAACTGTGTGTTTCTGATAGCTGTCCTGTCCACAGGCAGTATATTTTCAAATTCACACACTTATTGTGCAATGAAACACTTCTGCAGTCTTGTTGCTTGTTCCCAGTTGTTTGTTCCACATCTGTAAGCTCATGTGATGCCAGCTCGATCTCGTGTTAGGACCATGAATCAGCACCTCCTTGTCACTTTCTCGGTGTCCCTTGTGATTTCACTGACTTCTATCATATAATTTTCAGGCTAAAAATAATCCTAGTTTATTCCCAGTAGAAAATATGCTCTATGTCTTCAGTCATCCTTGTTACACCTTTTCCAATTTTAATCTATTTCTCTTTGAGTAAAAGAAAGGAGAGAATCAGACCCCAGTATTAGCCAACATTCTAATGAAGTTTTCCATTTTGTTGTCTTATGGCTTTCTTATTAATTCTTAACCTAATTTTACACATATTATACTTACCATCCCAGATACTGTAACTACACCTACTAGTTTCTATCAAATAACAAAATCAACACCAGGTTCAAGTAAGCCTGATTTAATTAAAAGTTATAAATATGAAACCAGGTACATTCAAATTTAACTATTTATATGCTGAAATTATTTGGCAGTTTCCAGAACTTCAGCTTTACTCCTTACAATTTATACAGTGAAGTTGTGTCCAAATATGCACAAGGATTATTAATAATTTTTAATAATTTTGTATTATTTGCTCTTTGTGTAGAGTAAACTAGAATAAATTTAATTAAGGGCAATATTGCATGTGACATTCTGGAGATACAAAGTAATTTTCAAGATGGTATTTTTAACAAGTTCCTAAATGTTTACCAACAGAAATATGTGTTTTAGCTTTCTAGTGATACAACAAAAACAGCAATTAGCACATGGTTTTGATCCTTTCCTTGTAGTGCTTTTGTAAAATAGACATGCATCCAATTCTTCCATCATTCCAAATTATATTAAATTGCAGTCCTAAAATAGTACTGCACACAAAATTGACCTTAAACCATTCAATTAGACAACTAATGAATCATTCTGTGTCCTAAAATTAGATGCAGAACTGATAGCTAATTAGTTTTTGCCTTTTGCAGTGCCTAGCAACTTCACGGATTTGTTTTTAGCTGTAAATGTTTCAGTACATTAAATGATTAGAAGAACACTCTGATCTTATTTTTTCTCTTAAGCCTAATGTACAAAATATTAGAGCCATCTGTAAACAAATTAGGCCATAAAATGTCAAACAAAGTTGTCAAATATTTACCCAGATTTTAGCAATTACATAATGTAACACTGTGTTCCACTGAAAAACTGCTGAAAAACTAGACTTAACATAATTAATGAAACCTAAATATTACTTACTTTCTAAAAATAAAATACATGGTAATATTTATGACAATTGATTTTCAAAAGCAATAACTTTATATAGATTTTACACTTTTAAAATTATATTAAGTGTTGTTTTCAACCTCTTCTCAATCATAGAATCATAAATTTTTATAAACATAATGGAAAGGCATAATATATTTGTGTGTGCCTTGACAAGTCCTTTTTAAATAAGCAGTATAGAAAAACCCCTAAGAGAATAGGAACTAACCACAGATTAAAAAATCAATCATTTTGGTCACATTTTCAAACAGTCCACTAATACAGAATGATTTTTTCATGGCTTTCTTGATAGCGTTTAGTATTTTGTATAAAAACTTAGGGGGGAAAAAAGCAAACCCCCAAACTAAGAGGTAATTACTGAAAACAGTAGCTTTTAATTTACATATTGGGTCTTTTGTTCTATTATACTCTTTTGGAAGAGGTGAGGTATGAAAGGCTGCTCCTTAGTACAAATTTGAAAGTTTGGTGTGTGTGTTTCCTGAAGGGAGGGCCTGGAGGTTACCATATTCCTATGTAAAAAACAACTTTGCATCTAGGCTTTGTAAATGGCTGTGGGCCTGGCCGTGCGTGCAGAGAAGCTTCTGGAAGCTCTGCCTTCACTTTCTCTGCAGGCCTCCCCTGTCCCATGGCCGCAGGATGATGGAGGGACAGGGCCATAGGTGTTGGGGATGTTGTAAAAGAGGACAAGCACTGTGTCCGTTTCCATCTGCTTTCTGTGTGCACCCCAGAGGGAAGTACCAGCAGTGCCACTGACTGCTCTGTTCATCTGCAGCCCTTAGACAGGAGCACTTTCCTATTAACAAATGCAAATACATGCACCAGGCACTGACACCAGCTTCACCAGCACGGCCCTTCTCTCTATGGTGCTGCATCTACCTCTATGCCTCTTCCTTTCAGTGAAGGAGGGATTCCTGGGACACCCTTTTAAAGAGTTTTAATTGTTTTTATAGGTAAAATATACTTGAAATCCTTTTAAAGGAAAGGGATGTTTTTATTTGCAAATTATTTTACTAAACATAGGATGTGACTTATGTCAGTCTTCTCAGTGTTTCCTCCATTCATGTGACTTAGAGATTAGGATACTCAGAGGAACTCACTCAAAATTTCCAAACTAGCTTTGTTGCAGTGCATAATTATGAAATGGTGGAGTAAGACACTGTGGCTGGAATATATATGAGATTGTTCATATTGTCCTTCAAATAATTTCTACAAGAGCTGCCCTCATCTCCTGTCCTGGAGGGCTGTCTCTCTTATACAGAGGCATAAATGTTGGTTTCAAGTTAGAATAGTCATGGAACCCATTTACTAAATATGTTGCAATTTTTATATGTAAAGTATACAAGAAGATAGATAAGAAACAGCTTTTCACAGCTTTCCTTTTTAAATAAGGAAAAATTAATTTCTATCGATTGTCTGAGTTGATGTGCACTCTCAGTGAGGTAGGCCTGAGTGTTTCAGAACTATAAGCTAAGCATACTCTATAGGCTCCTTTGAAAGATTATACATGAATATGTTAAAAATACATATGTATATGAAATACATATATATATAATTCATATCTATATATGAAAATATATTGGCTTACACAGAACTATGTTAACAGTGTTTCTACTCCTGTATTAGACAAAAAGACTGTGAGAATGAAGGCAGAAAAAATTCCCAACTTTCTCATTAGATTCATTTATATATGAATGGGGGGGTGTTTAAAAACATCATCCCATGCACAGCAAAAGTTTCAGAATTCTGAAACATTAATTTTCTTTGCTTTTGTATTATCATTGCTTTTTGGAAGAAGCAGAAGATTAAATTGCCACTATTCTTCAGACAGATTAATGAAGGGGACTGCATTTGTCAATGCAAGAGAGATAACCAAGAGAGATTTAAAAAGAGAAAATACACTAACATGCCATGGATGCAGGCTGCCACCTATGATCTGCAAGATTCAGTATGATACAGGAAAGAGTCTAAGGATTTATAGAGTATATTTTTTTCTACTTTGATTGAAGTGGAAAAGAAAAATGAATAAGTGTTGTAAGAGTGTCAGACTGCTCACATTAAAGCCAACACCGAAATTTACCTTGAGTTCATGGGAGGCCAACATGTATCCCAAACCTCAGCTATTCCATTAGGCTATAATTCATGACCTATATCTTGCCATCAGTGGCCATCTAAAATTTAGATCAGAAGCTAAGATTATATTGCTTGCTTCTGGAGTATTTGAGAACTGTGTTACAAAACAGTGAACCGCTGTTTCTCAGTCTGGGTATGCCACTGAATTTGCAAATGTACAGGCCACAGCATGTTTGTTTTAGCATTCACTATTTTTAGGCTGTTCATAAGGAAACTCCCAAGACAGACTATTTATTTTATAAATTCAGCTTTTTACCTTAAGCATCTTGAGAGTAAATGTACTGTTCATGTGCACAGACAGTCTGTGGCTCCTGTAAGAGATAATCAGAAATAGTTATGTCATACCAGCATTCCTGAAGGTGCCATCTCTTTCTGTCCTATCTGCATCTGCTTCCTCTTGGTATTGGTAAAATTGTAATAGCACCCAAATACTGTAGGTGCTCTGTAGACATTTAAGAAATGGTTTCTCTCCCAGTCAGTTTACAGTGTTAAAAAGTGTGAACATGGATGAGGGAAGATGAAAACGAAGTGAGAATCCCATTGTCCCTATCCCATCTGAACACCTCTGGCTCTTCAATATTAACACCAAACAATTTTATCACTGCTTAGAGAATTTGGGCCATCCTGATGTAGTTGTTCCATCGGCTGCTATGTGAGCACCTCCCACATGATGGTGCTGTCCAGCCTGAGCAGCGGGCAGGCTGAACTGCATTTTTTCTTGCCATGGAACTGAGTCTCCTGCACTACTGTTCTAATCCTTTCTCCAGATATTGGGATGAAGGAGAGCAAATGAAACAGGAGTAGCCTTCTGTACAATATCATCTCCTGCTGTCTGGTTGCTACATTTAATCAGGCATACATCTTCTTTCTGAGCTTGTCATCCACAGAGCTACACAGAAAAATAAACTGCAAATAGAAATGCTTTGTGCAGCTGAGTAATGATTTATACTTGCAAACATTGGGACAAGTATTTATAACTGGTGAATTTTCACCCATGATCTTCCCATTTCATCTCAGGTCCTTAGATTTCAGTAAGAGGAACCTCTATCCTAATTTAACCTGCCTCTATTTTGGACAATCAGTGTTCATTTTTAAACACTCTGGGCAAAAGAAATTTTTCCATCTATTACACATGATATGAAAATACAGCTTTTAAAACTATAAAACATACCTTTATCTGCATACGAAATTATTATTATAATGATAAGTTACATAAAGTCTTTTATGGACCAAATTTTCACTCATACATGGTGCATTCTGTTATCTATTTAAAATTATTAATGATACTTATCTTTCTCTAGAGAAATCTGAAAAAATGTCAAAAAAAGTCAAATCCAGCAAGACCAACTCAAAAGGTTCAAAAACACCGGCAAAGAAACAGAAAGGTAAAGCAAAGCTAATGAATCGTGAAAAGGTAAAAGAAACACATCTTGGTATGTAAGGTGCAGCAACAATGAAACAAGCAGCAAACTGGGCTCACGTGAGATCTACCTTACTTATTTTGGCCCCATGCATTTAAAAGACATGAGATCAATTAAAGTATGCTATTTTATATAAATAAATGAGAGAGGTAAAATGACTCATTATAATTCTGTAACCAACACTACTGATAACATCATGTCATTATATTTCAGGTAAAAAGGATGAAGTTGATCTTTCTATGGCCAGTATAGGTAAGTGCTATGATGACTGAGCTTTAAAGTAGTAGTTATGGAATACTCAAAGTATTTTGAAGCTTCAGTGTTACTAATGCAGGAAATAAAAAGAAAATATTTTTTTCTGAATGGGAAAAAATAGAAACGATTAAGAAATGCAGCTGTCACAGTAATTGCAGTGGCTCTCTGAGTAGCAGGCAGTGCAGCAGGAAACAGGTATGGGTTTTAAAAGAGGTTTTTTTTCTCAGTTTGAGAGGAGTTGGGATAGAGGAAATAAGCATCATAACAGAATTATAGGGTGCAAAATCTTCGCAATTTAGAAATAGTTTAGCAATTGAAAGAAAAACATGAATTTTTTTGTAATTCATTAATCTTTGATCTTTGTCAAACCATTATTAAATTTCATTACAAGATTATTTTAGGAAACCACTTGTGGTTCTTAATTGTAGCTACCAATAGATGTCGATTAGTATCTTTTTTTCTTTGTAGGGGAAAAAATTAACCATTTAAAAGGCACAATTTGTCTTATGTTCAAGTAAAGTTCAGTTTTAAGCATGGCCATAGTTAAAGGTTAAAAGTATGCAATTATCCAAATTTATTCTTTTTTCTTAAACACCTAATGATTTCCAACGATTTGTTATTTTCCATATTTCTGGTTGTATTTTTTTTTTCTGGTCTGATTTGTGCAATTATCCCTTGAACATAAATTGATATCAAAGTAAAATTTATCTATAATTTACAGGAACAGTCCAAGGCAGTTACAGCCAGCTACAAGCTGTAATTGGCTTGTAACAATAGAGCTTTTATTGTTAAAAGCTAAAACAGTGTGGCAAACAAGGAATACACACAGTAGGTAATTCTAAAATAAACTGTAAATTACTTGTTTTCCTCCATAATCACATGAGCACTGGGTGAAAATTGTTCTCTGGTTAGCATCACCAAAATGGTTAAGGTGCGGTTAATGAAAATGCACAAAAAGTAATCCCTCCGATGATTAAAGTGGTACTTTAAAAAATGTGTTTTCAGTGTTGCAGGAGATAGTAAGAGAGAATTGTACCTCCCCCTACTGGCAAATGAGGTTCGAGCTCTAACAGCTGAAGTACTGCTAGGAATGTGTTGCTGAAAGCAGGAAAACAGCACTGCTGTAAGCAAACACTGCCTGTGCAAGATTTAAACACCGTGCATGCACTCCTTCGGCCTGCAAGTGTTCTTTACTTCTTCCTTAGAGGTTCTTGGTCTTTTGTGAAGTTCTCCTAGCAGTAAGGGCTGCTGTCTGTTACAAATGATACAGATACAATTTACTAATAGAAAAACAATGTGAAGCCTATGATCAGATGTCACACACTTTTTACTGGAAAAGAACATTCAATTAAAATGTTTATAATGTAAGAACTCCAGTATCTGCTCCTTATATTATAGATTCTCTTAAAAATAATATTCTGCAATATAGAATTTTAATTCTTTAGACTGAAAGATGTAATTTTTATTCCAATCATTACTTTGTTTTTAGCTTGGGCTTATAGCAACAGAGCAATGAAAAAAAAATTATACTCTATCTGTCATACTCTGTTTCCTCTTGTAGTGATGTCCATTGTATTCTTGCTTAACTTTAATGCATGTTTGTTTTGTTCCATTTGGCAATGAAAACTACATCTCTTTAAAAGAATCTTTTTCAGCATTAGCATTTGTGCACGAGGCTGTACACATGAGTCAGAATTTTAGAACCAGCACCATAAAAGCTTATTGTTACAAACAATAATGTCTAAAACAACCATTACTGCTGGCTTGGATTTTTGAGGTCTGGTGTTAGCAGCAGAGAGTTTGGACCAGATGACTTGTAGGTCTTTTGCAATCAACATGTCTATGATTCTGTAGTTTTTGGAAGCATCCACACAGAAATCCTGGAAATCTCCAAGATACCAAAAAGGAAAATCATGCAATATTGATTGCAGTTTGTGATGAAAGTGAACTAATGGCCAGTGCATGCTACAAACAGATTGTATGTGCTATGAAATAAGTAGTGGACACTAAGTAATCCATACTTGGAACAGTGTAGCATGCACCAGAAACATCAGGCATGCCATTAACTTTAGCAATGACAAGGGTAGAGCAGATGCAGTGGAGTAGCAACACTGAAAGATTTTGAAGGATAAATGTCAGATTCATCAAACATAATGTATTATGCACTAGGATTATGCAGAGATTAAGGAGGATTTATCGTTTTGTTAGTCCTTGTTGTCTTAGATAAGAGATGACTTCTCAAAACATGCTGACACAGCTGGTCATCATCATCATTTGAGTATGTCAGCTTCTCTTCAAGGCATGCACAAAGAGGAAAAACCCCACAGGTGCTGGGAATTAAGATAAAATAATTTAAATTAAGACAAGACACTGAAACAAAGATAGAAAGTATCTGTTATTATCACAACAGCCAGCACATTTCAGTACAGAAAAACAGTACACAGTATACATGTCCCTAAATCTTTTCGTTTCCAGTTCACCAAAAAGATGAACTAAACTTCTAAGGCAAAAATGTAGTGGCCTTTATGAGGAATGCTCTTACTAGGGCAGCTGAGATGGAGCATGAGTCTGCTAGCAGAGCAGTATAGCAAAGGAGGAGTCTCAGGGGCAGGATTCAGCTAGCTGGGCCTAGAGTGATCTTAGCCCCTTAGAGCAGTAATGCAAGCTAGAGACAGAACATGTAATGTAAGAAAAACCAGCGTTTTCCGCATTGCCTTACTCACATGCAGCTGTCACACACAATAAGGAGAACTACATATTATCCTCAGATTGAGTTTACAGAGCATAGCTGACAGGTCACCTAACTGCATCCAGCCTCTCCCAAACCAATGAAGATGTCCATGCTAGCACAAGGATAAGAAATGTCTTGTTCTGAATTAGCCTAACAGACATCATGTGTGTAGAAAACAAGAGCTGTATATTCTCCACAAGAACTGAAAATAAATATTTGACTTTAATCTCAGTGAGCTTGCTTTAGTCTCATTTGATTAGTGAGAAATAATCTCTCCTGCACTCTGAACTCAGTGGGATGAAAGTCCAAAATCAGAAAATCATCCTTACTTGGGAGGAGCCTCGCCTAGAATAAATTTTGGCTTAATATGGTGCTGTCCTACAAGGAAGGACCATGGGGTATTTATTCAAAGGCTTTCTTAAGTCAGAACCATGTGGTTTTGCCCTTAATATATTAAAATATATATTATATTAAAACCAACCCATTAAAGATTTTTCACTAAAGTTGCTAATAACCTGTTCATCAAGAAGAAAAATAGCCCCCCCATACCAGGGAAATCATATTCATTATGTGCAAAATGTTGGGTAGAGTTTTTTCAAATATTAATAAAGTATATATAATTTGTATTGTGTCTCAATACCAAAAACAAAGGTGAGAGATTAAAAGGCATTATGCTAGAGCCAGTAAAGACATAGAGTTATCAAAGTGTACATGCATGTTTAAACAACACTCTGAAGTTAGCATGCAATTTTGCTTTTTTTCAAAGGCCACCCAGAAATATTTCCTTTGCTTTTGACTGCAATGACCCAAGAAATTTTTAATTTGCAACCTGATGAAGATGTTGCAGAAGAAAATTATTTCAAGTGTATTAAAAAAGAGGACATAATTCAAGACCTGAAAACAAGAGCTAAATCTTCTGATTTCTACCCTCTCAAAAAAGTTGTCCTAGTATGTAGCATATTTCATTCTCACTTTAAGACTTATGCTCTTAGTGTCCATTCTTTTGAAGAATGGGTCTATTCTTTGACTCTGTGTAAACACACTGATTCTGTAATATCTGAGTGCTAGAGGTCATGGACCATTGTTGACTCGAAGTTTCTCATGGCTTGCCATGCATTTTTTCTATTAATTTCAATTTGAAAATATGTAAAAGTAACATAAATACTATTGGTTTTGATTCTGTGAACTTACAGAGCTTCACATATTTGGCTTCCCCTAATTCATGGCCTATCTGTTGAGAATCATTAAAACTGTTTATTTTCTGTTTAATTGTCTGTATGAAAGATTAGTTTTGTTCCAGACTTATTTTTATTACAAAATAAACCCCATCTATTCCTTTCAATTGCCACATGAAATTCCCTGCTAAGAATACAAAATTAATTTAAGATACTAAATTGGCAATAGTTTTGCCAGTCACAACTTCATGTTTGTTTTTAATATTATTTGTTTTCAGATTTCTACTAATTTTTTTCATTAAAATAGGAATATCCAGGGGAAGAACTCTTGGTAGTTTTTGATCCAGTCTTCCAGTATGGAGAGAACTTTTATATTATTGCTTCTGAAGAAGCCAAGGAAAACTTTCTACAGGTAAAATTCAAGTATACCAAAGCATTGTTCTATCTATAAATATTTCAGAATCTAGTCTCAAACAAAGATGTCAGGAATGGTATTTTTAAGCACCCGATATTTTTCTAATGGTTAAGCTGATCATAGAAAAATATGTGTATCACTGTGAAAATATATTTTATTCTGAGAAGGGCTAAATTAATTTTTGCATTTTACTTCAGAGGGCCTGTAACCCCCACTGCTGCATTTTTATCATAAGCATTCATTTTCTCTGCTAATAATCAGTTTTCTCAGGCATAAAAATAACAGGAAACATATATAGTGTGTTTTCAAAGAAGTATTATACTTATTTTTCATAATATCTATGAATATATTCTTAAAATAATGAAAATGTTCTTGAGTTCTAAATAGCTCTAGATAAATAGGACTTGTACACTGCACTGTAGGAGAATGTTTATAGAAGGATTATATAATTTTTCAATATGAGTTTATATGAGTTTGCCATCCAGCATCAGGGAATCAGGAGAAGCAAAAATTAAGAAAAGTAAAATGCAGTTCCAGCTCAGAGAGCCTAATAGAAAAAGATCACTATAAATAGTTTTTATATAAAATTATTTGCTTTCAAGACAAGAGTCTCTATTTAGTAGTTAAATGTTAAATATTATTGGAAAATTCTAATGCACAAATGAACAGGACCTAAGCCAGCCCTGCCCAGGGGCACAGTATACGCAGAGTCACTGCACTGAGACAAAAGTAAAGAATGTGTGAGTGAAGACTGAAACCTGGGTTTCTTGTCAATACTTACATTTCAGTAACAAATTTTTGGAAAAGTACCATTTCTCACTGTTTGATATCACAGTCTTTAGCAGCTGCAGAAGAAAGAGAAGAATCAGAAGAAGAAAACAGAGTGGAAACTCTGGAAGTCCACAAACCTTGGGTTTCCCTTGGCAGTGAAAAGGAAGTTGAAGAAGAATCTGTTAAAGAAAGGGATACAAAGGTCAGAATCAACAGATGTTAGTCAATTAAATAAATATAAACCCCCTATGTTTATTTTAAGTTCCTTAAAAAAAAAAAGTCAGGAAATTGGAAGCTGTAATCCTAGTTTTTCTTGAGGTCTTTCAATAAAACTAACAGAAATAGAGAAATAGCTAAACTTTAAACAAAAGTGCTGCAGAAACTTTTATTTTTGAACTCTGTTCTCTTTAAGTCTTGCAAATAAGGCATGTATCACTTCATTGGATATAACAGCTTCTTAAGGTGTAAGGTCAAAAGTCCTTGCTCAATTTACCAATTGGCCAGATGACAATGGGAGTCATTGCTCCATTTCCATGAAGCTCAGTGAACAGTTCTAGTATATGAATGGCATTTAAGTAGCATGCAACAGTCTAAGTATCCTCAGGTATTACAAGCTGACTTTACAGAAGAACATATTTAATTAATTACATCTACAGATTATATATATATATATTTATACATTTATATATTATTATATATAAATTATTATATTATACATATTATATATTATATATATTTATACATAGAGAGAGAGAGAGAGAGAGAGAGAGAGAGAAAGAGAGATAGAGAGAGTGAGAGAGAGAGAAAATTATATGTCCAAAAACTAGATACACTCACAGTTGTCACCTAACTGGTGATGTGTGGGGCACCTCCAAGTATCTGCCTATTAGTGATTTTTACTCAGTACCTAAGTCCCTCTTCAGGGAAGAATGGCTAAGTTTTGATAGTTCTCAGCAACTGAACATCTTGCTTACACCTAAAAAGATGTCTGATTGTTCTAAAGCTATTTCACAGTCATTCAATTTGACACATTCACAGTCTAAGAATTCCATATTTTGCACTCTGCATTGTTTTCCTTTCCAGTTCTGTGGGAAATGCTGGGAAAAAGTACTTGGATATGAAACCCAAGACAAAGCAATACCTCTCTACTGCCAGAAATAAAGTGCCTACTTCTCTTTGTGGGCAGAAGTCAAGACATGTCCCTTCATCCTTCCTAGTTCTCAACATAAGGAAAAGTACTCTGAACTTTTCTGCATATTCTTCAGAGTACTTTTCTCACCCTAGGCACTGAGAGGAAGTTGAAATGCCTCTCCCAAAGTTGAGAATTCCACCAAGAGGGAAGAGCTGAAAATTAGGTCTTGGAAGCCTAAATCAGTATTACATAAGCCTTTCTGCAAATAATTCCTTTAATTAAATATGCAGTTTTGATACTGGATGGATTTGAAAATGTAATTCTTTTGTTCCACTAGCAGTAATCCAAAAATGCTACAACTTCTAGTTTTACAAATACAAACCTGTCTATTACATATGTAGTTTATTTATAAGAACACTTCAGAATTTCAAAATGCAGAAATATGAGTAAGCTCAAGACAGAAATTATTCACTGAACTAATTCTACAATTATATGAATGCAGCCATTTTAAAGAATGAACTTTCCAAAAGCTTTCTTTTCTGCTAGCCGTGGAAATGTATCTTTTCCAGATTAAATACAAGATCTCTCGAGTTCGCAGGAAGTTTGGTGCACCCATTACATTTACTGACAAGAATGCTTCAGATGAAAAAGACAGCTATGCTGAATGCACAGCCTATGAAGATGATACTTTTAGTATTAAAATTCTTGAAAGGGATGTGGGGGTGCAAATGGTTCCAAAACTAAGAGAAACTAGTACTCAGACAAAATGGTAAGTATGAGAAAGCATTTATCAGCTTATTTAATTAAGCTATGTACTGTTTCTTAACTAAAATTCTGGAGTTATTCAGTTACAAACTGACTAATATAACAAAATTGGATGCTCTGTTTGCATCTTTTTTCTTAAATGTTTTTTAAAAAGCATCTAGAAAAACTATATATTTAAATTTTACACATTACATATATTTCTGTCTTTGAAATATTTTCTATACTTACATTCAAATTTATTCCAATTGGGTAGGACCTATCCAAAAAATGCATCCACGCAGTATTACCCAAGGCAGTTGTCAAATGAAGAAAAAGCAGAGAGTCTGTCATCTGAGACGCTGAAAAAATTTCTTACAGCAGCACGTTTAAGGTAAAATTATTGCAGCAGAACATTTGAAGACTTACCTGAAATAATACAGAATACAAGCAAGTACTCTTGTCTGAATGGATCATTAGTCTACTGAAATACCAATTTTATTTTTTGTTTATATATACTTTTTTCCTTTTTTATTATTATCATATTAACAAACAATAACTTAATACTTGTTTATGTGAAAATAACCATGAAGTCTATGCTATATGGATATGAATGTTGCCTTAAATAGATTTCAGAACTGCTGAAGTTGATAGTGATACCTCTTTTCAAACAAACTGCAAAGCTGATCTTTCAAACACTGCCCACTCAAGCAGATGGTTGTGCAGTGAGCAAAGGTGCTCTTCTCCCCATGATTATGCCCTTAGCCATGTCCCATTAAGTAGGACAAGTCCTACTTAATGACAGTTTTTGCACAAAGAATTGGACAATTGCTCTGTACTTGGTCCACAAGAAAACAGAGTTAAATTCTTGATATAGTAGCTATTTCTGTTCAAACAGAAGATTGTTTCCTTGCAGTGATACATCACTGAGGAATTGATACTTGATTTTTTTAACTAATGTGATCATAATTTTGTGAAAAACAGAAATTACCTCTTTACAGAAATATTTGTAATTCTACTATTGAGAAATCACATCTGGATTGTTGAAGTATTAACTGTTCTTTTCACAAAACAGAGTAGAAATTGCACTGCAGCAAAATGAAATTATGGACGTTTTTTTTGATGACTGGAAGGCCCTAGCAGAAGACCAAGAAGAAGGCAAGCCAGATGTTTATCTTAAAGAATACCAATCATTTACAGATGTGCAGTACCTCAAGAACAGAAGCATTAGCTGCATTCGCTGGCATCCAACCATTTATGGTAATGCAGTTAAAGTATTGATTTGAGTTTTCAATTCTGGGTCTTAAATGACAGCTATAAAATATTCATCTTTCATAAAATCATCAGCTTTCAAATTTAAAAAGAAATCAAAACTGATTTAGTATCTCTGCTTGAACTGCCAATTTGAGGCAAAATGGAAAATTAGACAAATTCTTTGTAGAATTCATATGGGCCATGCAAAGTCTTTACTCTAATGTATAAGTGGAGATTATAGGCAAGAGAAATTTCCCCCCATGAGGCTCATTTAAGCAGGGTTGTGGTGCCAGACTCTTCAGATGGTTCTGCATACTGTTGTGCTTGTGCCCATGCCTGGCTCTCATGGCATGCCTAGTACTGGTGAGGAATGTCACAGCCTCAGTGGGACACGGCTCTGCTGAGTGCCAGGGAGCATCACAAGACACACGAAATGTCAACTCCTGCTCCCTGCTGTGCATTATTGCTCTGCATGGCCAAACCCAAAGGCACAATCAAGTTCTATATAAATGCCCCAGCTCCCAGCATATTACTAACCAACATTGCAGCCTGGGTAAGAAAAACAATTGGGTTACAAAGATTTGTTGTCATGGTGGGTGGCCAGGACTACACACCTGTCACATCACTTCAGGTGCAGTATTGCACCATTGAGGAGCATGAGCAAAAAAAAGAGGAGTTTTATCCTGATGCATAAGTTCTGTGACTCATTTTAAAATAACCTAATGTTAAGTAACAAAAATAGCCTCCTTAAAGTGGATCTGAAAAAAAAGTAGCATACATGGTTGGTTTATTTGGGGTTTCTTTCCTGCTTGGTGGGTTTTCTTCACTGTATTCAGAAGGTATGAATACAAGTCATTTAGGATAATTATCAATGTGTTGAAAATTGAATTGTCTCTTTTGAGAAAATTTATTTTCTCTTTTGATAAGGGATTATAGCACTGTCAGCAAGACAGCAGTCTTCATACGAAGAACAAGTTAACCTTTCTAATAAATCATTGCTACATCAGCCAGTTATACTTCTCTGGAGTTTGTTTCACCCTCTCTGCCTCCAGGTATTTAATTATGACTTTAAATATGCCAAGTATTTAAATAACATGAGAACAAACAAATAGTGTGACTATTTCTAAACTATCTTGTTTTTCTTCTCTCTAGTTGGTGTTGAAGGCTCCTGAAGACATTTGTTGCTTTCAGTTCAGTCCAAATGATCCAAATATCATTGCTGGTGGCTGCATTGATGGACAGGTTTTTCGCTTTTGAAGAATAAAATTGCATATTTCTGTATTTTCTTCCAGTATAAAAATAAGGGTGAAGAGATATATTCAACATCTAAAGTAACACGTAGAGACAGACAGAAGACAGATATCACAGAGTCTTGAAACTCTCTTATCCTGGACTGAAGTTATGATTATTCCATAGCTGTGCCATTACTGTACAATGTTTCTTTGTAGTACTGATAAATAGGTCAAGTTGTAAAGACTTGTTTGTAGAGACAAATGTAACCCTTTTTCTGATTGCATCAAGCTGAAGAGAAAATACTTTAAGGACTTCATAAATTCTAGTGCAGAAAGTGAATTTCTTCTGCTTCCTCAAACCTCCATGATTTGAAAAAAAGTGTATTAATGCACAGCATATTAATACACATATACAAATATAATTTTTAATATAGTAATTTATCATTGTAGGTTGTATTGTGGGATATTTCTAAACATGAAGAAAAGCTGGAAAGTACAAAGCCTGTTCCTGATGAAATCATTGACTCGTCTGAGGGTGAGCCAGGTGCAGCAGCAGCAGTGGTGATTGAGGTAATTCTGGGGCTGGTGGTTGGATGTGGTGCACAGGGGTTGCCCAGCAGTGAGCATTGGCAGCACAGAACACCAGCTGAATCCTGGGCTGCATCCAAAGCGGTGTGGCCAGCAGGGCAAGGGAGGGGGTTCAGCCCTCTGCTCTGGTGAGGTCCCACCCAGAGCACTGCATCCAGCTCTGGTGCCCCCAACACAAGAAGGACATGGAACTGTTGGAGCAAGTCCAGGGAAGGACCACACAGTTGATAAGAGCACTGGAGCACCTCCTCTACAAAGACAACCTGAGAAAGTTGGGGCTGTTTAGCCTGGAGAAGAGAAGGTTGCATGAAGGCCTCACAGTAACCAGTATCTGATGGGAATCTAGAGGGAAGCCAGAGAAGGACTCTTGGTTTGCAACTGTAGTGAAAGGACAATGAGTAATGGGAAAAAATTAAAAGAGAGAAAATTTAGGTTATATATTAGGAAGAAATTGTTTACTTTGTGAGGGTGGTGAGACACTGGGACAGGGAGGCTGTGGTTGCCCCAGCCCTGACAGTGTTCAAAGCCAGCTTGGATAAGGCCTTGAGCAGCCTGGTCTAGTGGGACATGTCCCTGTCCATGGCTGGGGCCTGGGACTAGATGATCTTTAAGGTCCATTCCAACCCCTTAACATTCTATGATTCTATGAAATCAAGGTAACAGCTGTTTATATGGTAAGAGCTTCTACTGTAAGTATATTGCAGTGTATCTGTGTTGTCTGTGGAGGAAAAGCAGGTGAGGGTATCCTGACTCAAAAGAGAGGACAAGATATCCTTTGCAATGAGACACTAGAAAGGATAAGAAACCTGATGAGTTCATTAAATCAAGCCATTATCACAATTATCAAGTATGATTCCTACCTGATTAGTACAGCTAAAAAGGTTTTTTGCATTTTGTGCAACTTACAAGTCTGTTCTTTAATGGGCACCAATAGACCCTCCACTCTTAGCTTACAAAGCCTGTCAAATACAGATATTGTTTGTTATTGAAAGCAATACTGAAAGTATTCTAGATGTTTATGAACAGAGAAGCAGAAGAAAGCCCTAAGAGAGGAGACATTAATCATGTCTGCATGTCTGTGGAGGCATGTTGGAAATCTTTTTAGAGCTTTATATCCAAAGGCCTGTTTTGATGCTTTGCTTTTTTTTTTTTCCCCTCAAGTGGAAGGTATTAGACCCCTAAAAATTTCTATAAACTGATCTGAAATACATGAAAAAGTGTTAACAGAATGCAAAGTAACCTTTTATTCTTTGATAGGTCTATTTTATTTTGGAAACACACTAAGATATCTTTTCTTCAAACATTTCTAGCCATCACCTAAGCAAGTCCAGCAGAGTAGCACAGAGCCACCTCTAGTGAGACACTGTGCAGCCTCTTCCACACCATATTGTCATACAAGGCCAGCAGAAGATGTAAAGTGGCTACCATGTAACTTTGAGGTGAGTTTAAAATTTCACTTCTTTTTATTGCTTTTCTAATCTACTACCTCATAAATCCTAATGTAAACTAAAGAGAAAAATACTAAATAGTTAATATTTGTATTAATTATTTTTCACTGCATTTAGTAAACACTTATAATCTGGTGCCTCTTGTCATGTTGATTGTGCTTTACAGCTGTGCTGTGCTTAGTCTGATATGAATCTGCTAGTACTGGAAAAAATTTCCTTAACTTTACAGAAATGTATAATGCAAAATTATAGTAAGCCTTCCGTATTGAAAATATATTTAATTTCTACTATGAGCAATCTAGCCTGTCACTAAGAATTCCAAGAAGTAACTTCAATTACCTAAACATCTGGATACCCAAGAATGGTGTTATTGTAGTCACTTAAATTTTTTAGATGCTGTCTGACTACTCAAAACGTACTTTTTCCATTATGGTTTTAAAGCTTCAAAGTACTTACAGTCTATAGGGTGCTGATTTACTATCAAAGTATTGCAAATTAATTTGAAATGCAAATGCAAGTCAAATGCAAAATAATGAAAAGCAGGCCAAGAAGAGGAAAATGGAAATCTTTAAAAGGTTAATGGAAATTATATATTAATAAATTCTTGAAAAAAAAATTAGGACTTCAGAGATACTACAGTCCTTAGTGGCGTTTCCAGAAATTGAGAAAAGGGGCACACATATATCATCAAATGTCAGCTGATCCCAGTGTTCATTATTAGTTTATACAGTAGTAGTCATGGATACTAACTGGTACCAGATGTAAAGATTGAAGAAAGGGGTTGGATAGCAGAACATTGTTGTGGTTTTTGTTGTTTGGGTGGGGTTTTTTAGTCAAAGTTTAGGCTCAGAAGGCTGTTTTTGTGTTCATCTGGGATAACAGATACAGGAGACCCATGCTTAATAAATAACACTGACAAAGGAGTCACTTTGCCAGTATTTAGCAACATGTACTGGGACATACTTTTTGTTATATAAACATGGAATATATGTCAGCCTTTGCATGACATAGCAGATTTTATGGCACAGTTCCTAAAATAAGCAGTTTTATAATTACATATTAATGAAAAATTATTGAAAGTTATATCCAGATCGTAATTCAGCTTTGCCTGGCTGCATTACTACCATTGTGATTCCAGATAGACAAACTCATGAATGAAAATTAGAGTAGGCCCAATTTGGCTTGAAAAAAAATTTAGCTGAAATTTTGCCACATACTTCATAAACACAGTTTGTGCCAAAATATGTTTGTTTTTTATATACTAAAGTTAGATTTGATTAGCCTTGTTACCCCTGATACCTTTCTTTTATTTTTCTGAGTAATTAAGATTAATTTGCTATAAACCAATAATGACTTAGTAAATGATAAATAGTATAAAATCTGCATGACCCCACACATACAAACTAAACTATTAATAATTAACATTTGAAGGCACCATTACAATCCCATAGTGAGGTCTTGCCAAGTGATAATTTAAGATAGATGACCCATGGTGTAAACTTGGCAAAGACACATCACTCCCACTACATTGAACTGTTGGAGATAAATTTCTCAATTACTGGCTTTTTTGTTAAGCTGCATAAAAGAAGTTACAAACATGGCAAATTAAAGAGGGTCTGATTTGCAATGGTACCAGTAAGTATTTATCCTGCTAAGTTAATTTAGAATTTTAGGTGTGTAGCAGGCAAAGCTGGTATCAGTTCACTTGAAGCATATTTGTAAAATACTTTGACTTTATAACTGCAAATTAATGAGTCTTGATTTTCAAACCTTAGCCAAGCAGAAACAGTGACTTAATTTCTAGTAGCCTGTTTTATGTGTTGAAGTACTTGCATATCAGAGTGTGATTTTTGTCTTTCATCATCTTCTTCCCTTGTAATAATTATTACTGTTATTTTCAGGAAAACCAAAAGGGTGGTACTTCTGAAACCAAAGATGAAAAAAAACTGCAGCTTGTAACCTGCTCCCCTGATTGGTATGTGCAATACATACTCTACAAGACATCTTCCACTTTCCTTTGAAAAGCTTTATGAGGTAGAATCCATTATTTAACTGGCACATTTCTGGGTTCCCATCAGTGTATCCTGAATAGCTGAAATTCTGTATGCAGAAGACAAGCACTTTGCATTCTTGCCCAGTTAAACTTTTTACAGTAAAGGCATTGAGAGTTTGTTAACTGAAACTCCTTGCATATATATATATATATATATATATATATATATATATATATATTTCGTGTATACCCTCTGCAGAAGAGTGTTGATCACACATGCATTAGCTTGGAAAGCCACATCCCCACACTTATATTTGTTTTTGTGACATGCACAAAAAGCTGTTGAAAGATTCTAAGCCTTATTTCTACAGAAATACTGGAAACTATCTAAAAATTTGGAGACTTAGCTGGCAGAATTACTCTTTGTGAATCTCCTCTTTTGTGGACCAAATAGACATGAGAGTTATATTATTATTCTGTATGAAAGACTAGCAAGGGGGCAGAATGCAAAAAGTGGAAATAAATGTTTACCTTTCATGATGTCAGGAGCTTTAAGGCTTCAAGGCTGCATGGCTGGGCTTAATCATCAAAGGGAGTGTCAGAGAGAGCAAAATTTTATAATGATGCTAAGTTATTTTTCCTAATCAAATAAGAGAGAAGAATTTGAAGAATTAAATGAGAAGTGGGATTGCAACTGCAATTCTTAATAAGTTTGCAGTGTAATGCAAGTAATACACATAGAAGAAATTATTTTAACTACTCACGCACCAGGGCTCCAAATTGAAAATATTTTGAAGTCAAGAACAGAGAAGTCACTGTAATGTCATACTTGAAGAGCACAGGTCCCTGAGCAACCCCTGTTAGAAAACGGAAAGAGATATCAGCAATGAGGAAAGTTTCATTGGCTATATCAAAACTGTGAGTGAATGTCCAGAGTAGAACAAAAGGAACAGTCAGAGGGCTGAAGATTCCAAGGAGGTGACAAATACAAGTGGGACCATTTGCCTTGATCATCAGCAAATTAATTGGTACACACAAAAATTGGGACTGATCTTCAATGTGAGTTACTGAATTACCTGCTACAGTCTTCAGGAACTTCATCCAGGCAGTCCCAGTAGGTTCACCCAATAACTGTCCATAGACAAACTATGAATAGTATCTAGCTGCTTTGGTATAATAAACTAATGAAAGGGTGAATTAAGAAATATATTTCATCATTTGCAAAAGAAGCAATTAATTATCGAGCCTTTGTCTGGTTTCAGAGTCTCTACTGTTATTTAAGGCTTGAAGAGAAAAGGTTTAAAAACCTCAAGCTTTAAAATGGAAGGAAAATTGCATGTAGCTGCAAACCAAAACACTATTAAAATTACACTATACAATTATTTTGCAGCTCAATATTGTTTTGGGATATTCCATCCATTGAACGTCGTGAACAATTTTTATCTCAGAAAATAAAGGAGGAGAAAAGATCTCACATGCCCCCTGGTCCAAATACTGATGAGGATTTAGATCTCTCCTGGAAACCACTCATAAAGGTAGTGTCCACAAATACAGAACACAGGGATTGAGCCAAACTGTAAATATGGCCAGAACTCCAAAGGAACATATTTTGCGTCCCAATTCTATTTTTTCTAGAAAATTGTGACTTCCTTGTGATTTTCTTTCTGATTATGAAATTAAATACTTCAACATTCCTTTGTAACTTCAATAAAATGCATTTTGAGAAGCTAATTAATGAGAAACAGCACAACTGCTTCTAAAAAACTGCAGTAGGTGCAAAAGCAGTTGTGTAAATAGTGTAAGTTCCTGTCAACCTTTTCAGATGCTCTGCTATCTCAGTGGGTCCCAAACAGTGCAAGGTGGTCATGGACAGCAGAACCATAATTGCTAGCAAACCAACATTCAGTCTCATGAAAACAGTCATAACAGTTGCTGAAAAAAAGTGAGGATGTTAGGTAAGAAAAAGAAGTTATAATTTTAGGTATGCTGATCTGTGCTGCTCAGAATACCTGCAGCTGACAGTTTTTGAACAAGCATGACCACTGGAGCTGGGCTGTTTGGGCTTTTTTAGAAACAAAGCAAAATTCTTACAGGAAGAAGGTAACACATTTTTTCCATGCTTGTATGTGAGGCAGCAAGTTCTGTTTGTGGAGCATTACAAACACACTGCAAAGATCTGTTCCATTACAGCAGAAAGTCGTTTAGACTTGTACCTCAAAGATCTGACAAAATGGTTTAGCAAATGCACTTCTTCCTGAACAGATAAATCTGCGTGAAAGGGATAACAACACAGAGTATGGTCCCATGAGAATCAGTTTAAGGAAACTGCAGTATCGTTACAAACCCCCAGGTAATATTTTTATTACACCTTACAGAGGAAAATGTTTTTAATAAGCTCGTATTTCAGTATAGACATAATAAATGCTGAGCAACAAAATGCTGTATAGCTAAACACAGCTGGAGAAAAAGATTTCTTAAGTATAGTGGTATTCAGTGCGTGATGTACATGTACTGACTATGAAGAAATGTACATGTAAAAATCCAAACTGAGCAATTAATATACACAATGACTCTATCCAGTTTCACTTAAAAGCCTATGCAAATCCCTCACACAATCTCTTTATCCCTGAAACAATATGTCCTTTTCAGCCATTACAGAAAACTATTTTTAGAAACATAATCCATTCCCTGGAGCAAAGATGTTAGCTCCTGGTTGTGGCAGCTATGGGTGATGTGTAAGGGCAGCTCCACAGAGACACTGGTGCTGTGTAAAACTGGCACAGGACAGGATGCTGCTACCCTAACAGTGTCTGGATATAAGAATCACTGACTTCAGAACTGCAGCAATGGGGAGACTCCAGCAGGAAACAGCAAACCTACAGAACTGCTGCTTTACTTGGCAGTCTTTCTTCATATTTCTTCTTGAAATTCCCCTTATCAACAAACTACCTTTACAAGACCAAAGGATTTGCTTGGTCTAATAAATTCCAGAGTGTAACAAAAATTTGTCACTGTTGTTTCCCAGGGAAGGTGAGATCTCGGAGCACACTGAGGGCACCCATCAAGGAGAGCCCATATACAGAGATGAGTGTTTCTTCAAGCAAAAATCTGGAACTGTTAGACAATATATCCACAGACTTTTTTGTTGGGAATGAAGTACGTGAAAATAATGTATTGCCAATGAAAATGTTAATCCAAGATATCTGAAAAACTGAACAGTTAAATAAGTGTTTTACAAATGTATGGACTTGCACATTTTCTTCAGCTATAACTAAAATTATGTCTCTGAATATGCCACCTTTTACTTCTACTTTAATACATTATTAATATTAATTAATTATATTATTAATACATTAATAATAATTTTAGCTACATGCTTAAAAATAATAAACCTCCAATATTCAGTAGACTATGAACCCTTACTTCAAGAGCAGAATTAAAAGACATTTCCACAATATAGTTGAGCTTAACCAGCTATTAGGAACCAAAGAGTATTTCCTTATTCCAGAACACATAATATTAGTAATTTTTTTTAATGTCTTCCCACATGTCATGTGAAAACATTTATTCTACAGTTTGCCCCCCAGTTTAATTTCCCCTTTGGAAATTCCAACTATTCATAGCCTGCTACCTACCCTATGCTGCTAAAATTCGTGGGTCTTTCCCAGTTCTGAGTTCATATGGAAATGAAAATCAGGCTCCTAGCTACCTTTTTGCTGCCAGTCAGCTTTTCCCCAAATACTGGAGCAAAGCAGGAACTATCAAAAACAAACACCTAATTCTGCAGGAAGAATTGCCTACATACATCATGGCAAGTAAAGCAGTTCTGGCAATACATAACCAAAAAATGGTGATGCAAAATCATACTGTGTTTTCAGTCATTGGCTGTAAATTCAGGTTTTAATTTAACTCAGATCATATTTGATGATGGTGATGCCTTTCCCTGGTCCTAAAAATCGGGAGCCAGACAGGGTTAAGGGAGAAGGGGTTTTTTTACCTCAGTATTTAATAAGGATCTCACTGCACCCCTTGCCCAGGGTGGGATGTAGTGCAATGCACACACACAACAGATCTCATATACAATTTATAGACCTTCCAAATTGGCTTATCCCCAGTGGGAGGCCTGGATGAATGGCGTGATATTCCCCCATCTGAGGAATTCCCTCTGGATGGGCCAAATCTCCAGTTTACAGGATGTTCTAGAGAAGACCTTGGTTTCCCAAGACAACGTAGGGTTTTCCAGCCTCCTGCTACAGGGCCTTTAGGATATTTGGTCTCCTGGCCTAACAGAACACTAGGACTATGCTAAGTTATTAGACTTAAAGAATTACAAGTATGCATGCTAAAAATACTAAGGTTACATCAAAGTTATATAAAAAGTATATAAAAGAAAAGGCAAAACATCATCTTGGCATCAATGGTTATAATTAAGAAAAGTCCCAGCTTAAAAGCAAGTCACTTTGAAATAAGCCACCAAGTTCTAACATTAGCATTTGCTTGATTTTCTTTGGCATTACAGGATGGAGAAATTGTTTATTCTGAGTGGAAAAAGAAAATTGATACGAATACAGCAAAACCAGTTAGTAAGTTCAAGTTTCTCAAGAATTGTTTAAGATTTAATATATTGCTAACTTTAAAATATTTGTGTCTATACTTTGTCTTTCTAAGGTTCTTACTCATAGCTCTAATAATCTCTCTCACTGATAACACCTGAATTTAACAGTACACCCTCGAAAGTGCAAGCACTTTAGCTGGCATGAGAAAATAGCACAAAGATATTGGTACAAATCATGGAAGTAACTAGATTTGTGGTAAATCCAATTCCTGTACCTTGTGAGTAAAAAAAAAAGAGGCTGATATCTTCCAGGCCTGTGGTATGTCCTGCACTCTTGTTTCTTGATCCCTAAGGCACTAGTAACAAGCAGCTGCCTTTTTCCTCCATTAGGTCAGAAGCACTCCCAGAAATATGCTCTCCACACCGAGACTATCAACACTCTCCAGAAATCTCCATTTTTTAAAGACATCTTTCTAAGCATTGGAGGCCAGAAGTTTGCCATTTGGAAAGAAGGAGTTACAGTAAGTTACTTTAACACAGCTGTAATATTTGTGATAGGTATACAAGTCAGGCTCAGAGACTGTATTTTCAGAAACATGTAAGTCATGAAGCTTCATATCTTAGAAACAAAACAGATACAAAAGAAGCTTTACATCTTCTTCACATCAGAAAACTATTTTAGATAAATCTTAGTAAACTTGCCTTTTACAGAAAAAGTGAAGTGACTTTCTTAAATTCCAACCTTGTAAAAAGCATAACTTCCCAACTATTCATTTCTCCTGCTAGAGAATTGCCTGCTGAACAAATCTGAAGAACTTGTATTTTAGGACAAGGTTTCCTCATCACATGAAAACAAAGAAACATGGGGTTTTTTTTTTTAAGTGTCTCATGCAGGAACCCAGGTTAGCTGCGCCTGACAAAATCTCCAGACCACAGTTTTTCACAGCAGACAGACAGATTACCTGAAGAGACTGGAAATGAAATACCAAGTTTTTTACTTCCCTACAATCCTTTTTATCTGCAGCAGGTAGCAGGAATTTTGCCATTGATACAATTTTTGTAATGGAACAATTAAAATTGTGAGCATTTTCCAAAAACAGAAGATCTAAAGTAGTGAGTTGATGGTACTGTTTGATTGTCTGGTCTATCTTTTTTTTTTTAAAAAAAATAAGAATGGACCAATCCTTCAGTCAAGCTGCTCTGCAGGAAGATACACTGCGGGACAATGGTCCTTAACAAGACCAGGAGTTTTCTTCATTGGCAGAGACAATGGAATTATAGATATTTGGGACTTACTGAAGAAAACTCATGAGCCATCTCATTTCCAGAACATCTCCAAATCAACCATCACTTTCATCAGCCCCTCCAGTGCCTCAGGTATTTGTATGGTGATTGCACTTTATTGTGCTACCCTATTTGCAAAATGGCCCAAGACACAAATATTACAAATGATCTTATATAAGATCTTATATACTTTCACAAATTGAACAATATACATACAAAAATAGATACATCAGTTCTTAGTGTGCTACCGTGGCATAAAAGCAATTGAAAATATTTCATTTTTAAAAAGTCTGTTGAAAGAAAATCTTTAAAGGGATTAATAAAATAACAGAGCAAAAGGTTTGTTTTTTTTGCTGCAGTGAACAACAAACTAAAAAGACAAGGAAAAAAAAAGAATCCTCTGTAGCTTGTCTCTGGGTGGAGGTTCACATTGCTGTTGGAATTTGGATTGTTTATACTTTTTTTGTCAAATATCTTTCAGCAGAGCAGCATTTTCTGGCTGTTTCTGACAATCTTGGAGTTCTGCATATTTTGGAAATCTGTCAAACATTATGTCACCCTTCAAGTAATGAGGTTAGTAAGAATTTTTATTAAATATCTTTGACACTTTATCCTGAAAACTCCAACACAGAAACAAGTCTGCCTAGACAAAAATGCCTTCAAATAATGGCAATTAATTTGAGATCAGACTAGCCATATTCTCCAAAGATCACCTGTAGCCAAACTGGCTTTGTACAGAATTTAGATAAGAGTCAACTAAAGGAAATCTCAGTGACAGGTGGCAGAATTCCACTGTTCCAACCTGGCTACATGAAAACACAATTAAGAGGTCAGCATTTTTTGCCACATCCATAAAATGACACCTTTCACACAGTAAAACAATGTTTTAGAGTGCATAGTAATGTATATATAATGAATTCCTTTTTCTTTACACCTTCCTGGCCACATTTGTGTTAATTTTTTTTTCCTTTTAATTTGATAATTCAATTTACATGTCTTTGTATCTGGTTCTAGTTCAGTGAGAGCATGTTTTGAAAACTGTTACTAACATTCCCACTCCTTCATGCTCTTGAAATAAGGACTACCTGTAACCAAAGGCCATGGGAATAATGCAAGCAGTTTTAATTTCCTTTTTTTTTTACATAGTTTTCAGTTTTTCTTTTCCTCCACCTCCCAGCCAAAGATCCAGCTAGTGTGTCAGTCTAGCAGTCTTGCCTGCTGCCTAGTCTGTTACTCCATCACAAAATTATCTTCCCATTCTATTGCAGTTTTATGTTTATGTAAGCACTTAAATAGTTTATAAACATCCCATAAAGGTTTGCCATGCACAGAGATGCAGTAGCAATAAAACATCATGTCAGCAGCTTCATTTTAGCAAAAATAACTGCTCCAAAGCAAGGCAGGAGCTAACTGAGTGATCTGAGGAAACACATTGCTTCTGCACAGATTACCTGTGCTTTGGAAGAAAACTCTATAGGGTGCTGCAGAATTATCAATCAAAGAACAGTCACTAATGTTTAGATTACGTTTGTTGTAACCAAAGTATTCACTGAAAAATACTAGGCTGTTGAAGAGACTAATAAAAACTAAAACACAGAAACCCAGATAAAATAAATACATAATGTACTACTGAAGTATGGTAGTTTATGGTTTCTTTGTGCCTGAAGTTGGTCACATCTTTGTATTGTTTTGCTGCAAACTACTGGGATAAATAAGGATATTTGTATTTCCAATTTAGATAAAATATTAATACCATTCAGATTATCAGCAAGAGATCTGTGTCTCTGAGCATGTAATGACCCTTGTTTGTCACTGTGTTTACAGCATGCCAATGTACTTGATTACTTTGAAAGAGAAGTTAAATATCTGAAGTACTGTGAGGAGGAGTTTAAAGAGTATGAAAAATTTCAAGCCAAAACAGAATTGAAATTGAACTGGAGACAGAGAGACAGAAAACAGTATGTTATACTTGGAATTAAGAAAATTTTCTATGTTTCTTTTTATCTGTATTGCTAGAGAAGATTTTCCACAAAAAATCAGGATGGACAGAATCAGAATGGTTTAGCAGCTCTTTATTTCATATCTACGGTTCTTAAGAATGGAAAAGATGGTCCCAGTTATGTGGTACATTTCTTGGTCAAATTAACCCTCTGCACTGGAGCATTAGAGCCTATGGACATTTAACAACTATAAATTTTCATTTTACACCCATTGCTTGTTCAAAGACTTACATTTTGTCAGCTGCCCTATAAACATTGCTCCTTAAAGCCAGGATGGATTCCTGCCTTCCATTCTTTACATATGAATTTTGCCTATCCATTCTTTGGTAAATGGTTTAATAATACTGAACTGCTATAATAACTAAACTGCCATTTCTTTGGTTGATTGATGTAGCCCATGGTGATGCCTATTTTCATTAATTTGTGACAGCAGTGTCACAATCCACTGCAAAGCAATGGGGTCACATACAGGTTTCAAAGCTTAACAGTGCATTATTGCCTGGTATGTTTTCTTTTCTTCAGTGTATGACTACAGAAAACTAAAGAGATGGAGGATCAAGAAAATGCACATTATACTGTGTTTCTAGAGCTGGAGAAGCAGATGGCAATGGATTTAGAAACAAGAAACACTTTCCCCACTGGATGCTTAGAGCTCATTATCACCTTTAGAACCAGCAAACTTCTTATTGAAAAACTTCTATTTCAGCAGAACATGTTTAGCTTTGGAAATAAAGAATTTTACAGTGAGAGATTATTGTTTCATTAACCTTATCTATTTGTTTGCTCACAGTGTGGTTAAAGAACAATTGATTTGGACCTAGTTTCCCTGCTGTTTTTACGTAATACAGGAAAATAATAAATCTCTTTAAATAATAGTTTTCAAAGCTCTATCAGGACTCTGAACCACTTTTACTTGCTCTCATCAGTTTACAAACTTATTATTACTTAATCCTGGCAAGTGCTTACAAACAGAAAACCAAGTCCATTAAAATATATTGTTCTCTCAAATAAATCAGTATTATTTAGAACAACCAGCTTTTAGTAAGCTGACCGTAGCTGTGCATTTCTGGCAAAAGACAATTATCCCTCAGAGAGATCAGATGGCATTATACAGAAGTTTTAATATTTACCAGTGTAAATAAGTAACAGCTCATGAATATTAATACCCACTCGCCATCCAGAGAGGACTCTTTGGTAAGTGGTTCTGCTGCTACTGGGTTTCAATAGCCAGGTCAGACACCATGTAACTGAGCAGAGGCTGTCAGGCAGAAATTAAATCTATCAGAGGAGGACAGATTAAACCCTATACGGGTGAGTTCACTCTTTCCATGACTCACCAAACTGTTTGAGGGTCACAGACTCCTGTCAAACAAATGTCCATGTGGTCACAGTAGACACTAAAGCACAAAAGACAACTGACACACAGGGGATTTGCAGAAAGGATCTTCAGCTGACAAGTAATAGCCAGCCCCAGTGCTCTGCTTCATCAGAGTAAAGCACAGCCAAAGAGAAAACAGGATCAGTGTGAGGATCCTGCATCCCAAAATAAACACTGCAAATTGGGGTTAGGCAGTGTTAAAGACATGGCCCTTCAATTTTCTACAGCCAGGATCTCTCTATCATGTACTTTTAGCACTTTGATTGAACTTTGGTCAGATTTAAGAGAGGTTTGGAGCCACTAAATAGGACTTGGTTTGAAAAATGTTCTCTTGTTTGTTACTTCAAAGTTTATATATTATAGCAATATTCCTTGTCCTTCATGTTGAACTAGTTCTAAATTAAAACCAAGGAAAATTCAACAAGTGTGTCCTTAGCACCTGCAGCAGTGTTTGCAGTCAGTGCAAACAGGAAGAGAACACTGCTCCTCTGCTAAATCAATATTTAACTAACAGCCTGCTCTACACAGATATGTAAACATCATACAATTGACTAATTAAAAAGCTCACCTATTATCAGGCTTGGACTTCATTAGTACACCACCTCAGAGCATCTTCCACAGATTTCTTTTGATTAACAGGGCTGCAAACTACATATAAATCAGTCAATCAGATGGCCATGGCTTATCTGGAAAGCCAGGCCAACATCCTCCACTGCAGCTCTGTTACTACTCCCCAGAGAGGCAGCAGCCTCAATGGGAGCCTTGTTCCCCACCACAGAGGCACTCTTAAGAGTTTTAAGAAAATATCCCAAAAGACAGAGGGATTGCAGATGGGTTTTCCTAAGAGCAAGGCCAAAGAGGCAGCGGATCAGGATTCTGCTTATCAGCTCCCCTCCCTCCCTAGAACAAAGTAGTTTGGGGAGCTGCAGGAATGCCCCAGTGGAAAGGGAATAATCCTCCTGAGAGCCATTTTCCTCCTCATCTCTGTTCCCAAGTAACACAGAAGACATGAGATTATACATCCCATCAGGATCCTTTAATCTGTCTAATACAATTCTAGATGTTAAAATACCTGTAGGGTTGGCTTTCCATCATCTCAGGTTGTTCCAGTTTTGCCCTGAAGAAGTTAAATCACTTTACAGGTTTTCCTGCTTGATTCTAAGGGACAAGCAGAATGAAAATAGAAAATTCATTATGTATGATGACATTTTAAAACAAATGTATCATAGTTACATGACAGTGCAACATCATTCCCCCCCACACCCCAAATAATCATCTTTAAGATGTAGAATGTGAGACAACAACTTCCTATATCAAAATACACTTACTGTCAGAATTCTATTCCTTGGGATGGGGACGAAGGGGAAGGGGTTAAGATCTGACAGTGGAAATACCACGTGTGTCTCTGGTTTATCAGATTTGTAGATTTATTCTGTAAAATCCCTGCATATCTGTTGGGGATGTTGCCCTCTATTTTTAGAACATGCCTGAATAGTTGCAGATCCATTTCTTGTCTGGTGCATTAACAAACATACATACAGGTTACACATTTGGGAAAGACAGATGTAAAAACCTGAAGTTTCTGAGCATGTAGGTCCCCAGTGGCTTAAGCCAGCCTGAGGTCATGGCACTCCACTATCCCACACTCCACACCATCCCCACCCACCTCTTGCATGCTCCTGTAATGAGCACTTTGGGAAGCTAAAAGGGGGAGAAGCAAAAAGGTGGATCAGCCACATAGCACCAGCAGTGTTTGGAATGCGGAAAATCCTATTTTAAACAAACAGGAAAGGATTAAAACTCTACAAATGGCCCTAGTCCACTCCTAAATCCACCTAAGAGTATCATATCCCTAACATTTGGCAGCAAAGAAAGCACAGACCTACCTTTGCATTTCTGCTTTTCCTTGGGGACTACAAACTACAGTTCCTGGTTGTGACCCAGCCCCGCACGTGGCCATCAGTGCTTGGGTAAAACCATTTGGATGTGATTTTGGTGCAAGCCTTGGAGCTGCCTCTGTAATTGCACCCAGACCCATTTTCTTTACCTGGAAGCAGAGGTCACACCTGAAGGAAGTCCAGGGACTCCAAGGACAATTTGCTTTCTGAACTCCTCTGCAGGCTCTGCCCTCTGCTGTTAACCTCTTCCAGTCCCTGGTGCACAGGAGCTGCTCCTGGTGCCAAAGGAGTCTCACCCAGCAGACAGCAGCACAGGTCAGCAGAGCAAAGGAGGCTCCTGGCTGTGGCCAGAGGGTTTGGAAAAGCTCTGCCCTGCATCCACACACAGCCAGAGGCTGCCCTTTTGTGTAAAAACTTCATTACTGCTTTGGTAGAAGCAGGTTGTTTTAATCTCCCAATTTAGTGTTCCTAGATTAAGGTAATTCCCACAGTAATCCTGTTCCTTAAGAATCTGTAACAATCACAGAAAGAATGCAGCTTGACCAGATTATGTAACTAACTAAATGAAATACAAGAGTCTCTATAAGAATATATATATAAGGGATAACATAACAAAAATGCCACTTGAGAAATGTCTCATTAAAGGATTGCTAAGATACAAAACGTGTTTTACAAATTGTTACAACTAAATCACCAGAAAATGTTTGAGTAATAGAATATATTAATGTACTGTAACATGAGTACAATTTATGGTGTCACTAATTTCCACTGTCGTGATATTAAAATATTAAAGTTGACAGAGCAGTGCACTGCTGCCCCAAGTTACAGAGCCCTCCTGGAGGAAAACCTTACGTGCATTCAAGAGGTGACCACTTACATCATCTGGATTATTACAGGCAGTGAAAGATTAATAAATAAATTTAAATGCAAACATCTTTCAAAGAGTGTTAATGGAGCAGTGGTTTGTTTTTAATTATCTAACTCAAACATTGGGTCAATCCAGAAATGGCAACAGAACAAAACATCTGAAAGCTAAATATTGTTATATAATTAATTCATGTGTGCAGCCAGTGCAAATGGATGACATCAGCTTAGACAGGTTTAAAAAAATGACCAGCTAGGCACAGACAGATTTTGTTCTTAATTCAAATTTTATTTAGAATTTAAATTTATAGTTTAAAAAGTATGCACATTCTGTAGGTATAAAAGTTTAAAAAAATACATCGATTTATTGATAAATGCTTCAGGTTAAATTTACATTTTCATTCATATCATTATATTGCAATAATTGTTTTGCATCTTTTAACACTTATAAAAATAAATTAGTGAGATTGAATAATCCATTGGAATCATGCTAAAATAATTCCTTAGAAAAGAGGGGTGAAGTTTGCCATAGCAATTCTTAATTCTTTGCTACTGTAAATAAATAACTCTTCAATTAAGCAGTATAAGGAAGTACAGGTTAGCAAAAAAGCACTTACCCACAAGGTGAATGGAAAGCCATGGTGGGATGTCAAAAATCGTACCAAAAAGATGTAGAATTAATTTCTACCCTGCAACTGACAGCAACTGACCTCTGAAAACACCAAAACCTTCTCAGCCCCATCCTAAATCCCCCCTTCCTTGGGGGTGTGTATGTGACCTGTAGAGGACAAGGAATGACTGTATGTCTTCTTGGTTAGAAGAACTACCAAAACATCTGTATACAATTTGGTGACTATTTTTACCTGAATCAAGACTGTGTTTCCTTAACATGAAATGTTTAATGGCTCACCACAAATGACTAGAGATAAAAGAGGCTCTGAGCAGATGGTGATAGCTGAATCTAATAAGGTCACAGTGAACTGCAATCCCACCCAAACTCCCCAGGAGTAATATCACTCCACCCATTCAACCTCATGTGACAACTCTGGTTGCCACTTTTGGGAGAGTAATTAAAAAAAAAAAAAAAAAAGAAAAAAAAAAAAAGCAAAGTAACTGGCTTTGTGCTGAACTTGCATCTTGCATCTCCAGAGCCACAACCCTTTAGAGGGGGCTCAAATGCATCTAATTACCAGCAGCAGCCAAGAGTACCACAAAAAGAATACATCAAACTCTGGAAAGAAAAAAATGTACCAAAATGTCAAGAACAAAGCAAGAGGTTATAAAGGAAAAACAAAAAATGTTTTCTGAAAAGTAAATGCCTTCCAGACCTTCTTTATATGTGAAAAAAACTCATGTAGGAAGAAACAAATGAAAAAAAAAACAACCAAACCAAACAAACAGAGAAAGGGTGGTGTGTGTGTGTGAGAGAGTTAATAGTCAACACCTGCAAACCGCCGTTCCTGCAATACACAAGGTCATTTACATTAATCATTCACCTTCCTTCTCTCTGGCCATGTTTCTGTGCATAAATCAAATGCTGTGTTACCCAAAGGGCAACCTTGTCCTGGCATCACTGAACATGTCTTCCTGGAAATGGGAACATTTCAT